CACACCCTATCAACCGGCATCAGATGGCCAAGTTGAGCATTTGAATCGCACAATACAGAGTATGATTAGTCATTTTATGGGAAGTATCATGATGATTGGGACAATTACTTGGACCTTGTATGTTGGGCCTATCGTTCAACTGAACACGAAAGTACTAGATTTTCACCCAATAAATTGATGCTTGGAAGAGAAGTAAATATACCTGTTAATGTGATAGCTGGTAGGCCTCCTGGAAGCCTCTTTACTGCAGTAGAATACATTAACACGTTGATCAGGCGTATGGATACAGTCCACGAAGCTGCAAGGTCAACACTAAAGAAATCCGCAGAAAGAGCCAAGAAGAGATATGATCAACATGCAAATCAACATGAATTCTCTGAAGGTTCTAGAGTTTGGGTATACATACCGCGGAAAAGACCTGGTTTAATTGGCAAGTTTCAACAATTCTGGACTGGACCGTATATAGTTCGTGCAAAGATTGCAGATCTAACATATCTGGTAGAAAGACTTGATGATGGTGAGAGATTAGTTATCCATCATGACAAACTTAAGAAATATGTTGGCAGACTCAATACCAATTCAGAGACAGTTCAAGAAGATAGAATGGAAGTGTCTGAAGACATTGAGAAAAGCAGTTTGTTTGAGTTGCAAGAGAAAGGCGGAAATCATATTGAGGTAATTCCACAAGCTGAACTAGCGAAGATGGCATTCCCGTACTTCTGCGAAGAATGTAAGAGTCTTTTTGCCACAGAAGAAGACTTGTTTAAGCATGACGGGATCTATCATTATCAGCCTCAGCACGTGACAATGCCATCGATTAAGTCTGACGATTGTAAAGAATGTAGAGTGAAGGCCTGTGGAGAGAAATTCAAGACAAGGCATGAATACAACGGGAGAAGACACATGTTAGTACATCTGCCAAAGGGAGATAAGTATAATGAGGCACTTGAGGCGTTTGTCAAAAGCCAGATTAGACAAGCTGATAAAAACTTCGAAGATGTCGTCAGTGAAGATGATGATATGGAATCTGTGATACCACCGGTTAATTTAGTCACCCACACATCAACACCTATATTAAAAGATGCTGTGGAATGTAAAGTGACAGACAAAGTCGTTTCTGGTAGTGATGGAGAGACTAAATCTTACTCAGTCATTCCAAGATGGACACAAGAAGTCTCCACATACAAGGTTAAAGGACAGAAGAAGACTCTTCAGAGACACACCACATATTATCAGACCATTTTCTGGCCTAAAGATTTGCCTCCACCACCGCCAAGTAGCAGAAGAGAAACGACTAAGACAAGCTGTAAGAACAACGGGAGAGGATGATTGAAGATTTTAAGATTTTGTATTTGTGTTCGATCGAGGGCGATCGCTTCTCGGAGTCGTGGGTAGTGTGACCATTTTTCATTTGTTATATTTTAATGTTTAATTCAGCTAGGTTCCCTTATACTCAGTTTTACTGTATTTTTCACTAAAGGGAGATAATCATGTTGAAATTCACCTTTAGATAAGTGGGCCAAGCATGGGTCGTATTTATTTCCATTTTATTATATGTTCACAATATGCTACAAGTCATTAGCTTTCATGTGATATGCATTTTAATAGGGTAGGGCTTGGGTTCGTATTTTTAATGTATTATTTTAACTCATAAGAGTACCAGGCAAGTCGGTTTATGGGGCACTCAAAATGTATAAATAGAGTTTAATTTCTTTCATTCGAGGAACTCTGTCATTTGAATTCACAGAAACACTGAGACTCCAGAACACAGAAGTCTGAAGGAACAGGTTCCCTATGTAAGTAGAGAGGCTTACATAGTAAGAGGAGATTCGGGAGATTTTGAATGAAAGATACTAGGTGTTAGTATCCTTATCTACTGTACCGATACCCGTTTCCGCTCGGCGGGTACTCAACTTTGTTGGAATAAAGTATATTTTGTTGTCAAGTGTGAATTTTATGTCTCTTTATCCTATATCTTGGTGTCTGCGGGTAACATAATCCTGCTTTCGCTTCGGATGAAATAAGTGATTTGTTGTTTGAAACAAAGCTAGCTACTTTTGGAATTATTGTTTTAACTAGAGAAAATAGTGATGAAAAGATACCGTCGCCCGAATAATCTTTGTGTTGTTCGTGTTTTAGAATTAAACTCATCATATTTTTAAATGAGTTAATTTAACGAAGAAATTGTGGTCTGTTTTTTTAAGAGTTATCGCCCTTCTAGAAGTTTCTAGACTAAAAATAACATTATTTAAAACGAGGCTATTAAAAACCGGATGTTATTTTATATAAGGGTACTTTTAATATGCTTTTTTGATGGAATGTAGGAATTGATTGAAGGTGTTTTTGGTGTAGGAATTTATGAAATGTAGGGTGTATAGGTGAAAGAAATGTAGGGTGTATAGGTCTTTTTTGGTGTAAGAATTTATGAAATGTAGGGTGTTAAGGTTTTTTGGTATATGAGATGGTATGTGTGCTTAATTTGGTAAGCCGGCATATGGTAAAGGGAGGGGGGGGGGGGGGGGGTGTATAGTGTACATACACTGCATGGTCAATTTGGTAAAAAAAATCGGCATAGGGTAAAATGGCATAAGGTAATGTACACATACTACTTGCACAAGCCTGCCACAACAGGGGACTAACTAGGCTATTCCTAGAGATCTTTAATCCATCGAAGACAATTTTATAAGCTGGCTGGTTTTGGGTTTAGGAAATAGCTTTAACAAGCGTATTGTACTGGGCTATTAATTTGCATAATTCGACGTTTTTAACGAACGAAACATTTAGTTCAAGAGTATAATTTTATCACACAAAAACAATATACAAGAGAAAAAATAAAATATATCAAAACAGTATGCATATGTACAAAAAAAATTAATGTCTTGGTGGAAGATAGTCCATCTCTTCATCACTACTATCCGAAGCCGGTGGTGGGGTTGGTCCTCTCTTACCATAATCTATACTGCCATATTCCACTGTGACTTCATCGGCTGGTTTCGTGAACACCTTGTTGGTCGGGTCCTTATCAAACTTCAGATCTACATACACCAAGTCATCACTGTCTTTATTTACTCGCTCTCCTGGAATCTACAACACAAAATAGATAGCGAATGTATTGACGTGCTATTATTATGTTAAAAGGGAAAATAAATATTCGATAAAAGAAGGCATTTCAAGCTTAAAGGACTATAGCCAAAACATTTCAATATACATAATGCAAGGTAACTTTCTCCCGGGAAAATTGCTTTTGAAATACTACTGTATTAGTTTTATAACCACTTATCTGGTTGATGAGAACAAATCCTTAGAGGTATACACAAACTTTACAGGTCTAGTTTGTAAATAGATTTTTCTCAAAATATCATAACCTATCACCCTCTTTGTCCAAGGGATATGTAATTTTTGTCTGTAAAATCTGTGAGTTAGCAACTTAATATTTATAAGAACACATTTAACTAACCTCAAGAGAATTATTTTCATAAACATTTTCCTGCCCGATATTAGCTTTACCAATTATTCCGACATTTTCATAGACTTCACCTACAAAAAGTTCATATATTTGCAAAAGCATTATTATTTATAAGCATAAAAGGAAGCTTTATCTATTTACATTTTAAAATTATTATTGTTAAATTTAAAATGCACCTGATCTACTCTTGATAATGTCAACACGGTCTTTCAGTTCATTTCAAGCAAAAATGTATAAATATTGATGAAATTTGTTCTTACCAGCCTTTTTGGTTTTGGCATTTTGTCTTTCAGATTTGATATCGTTACCTATCATTGTTTTCTTCACATCAGATTTCTTTTTATCTTGAAAATATGTTAATTAAAAAGAAATCTTGAAAATCATACTTCGTAGAATAAATTCATTACAAAAAAATTCATTTATTGTATGTACATGTATTCATAAAACAGTCTTGAGATCATTAATCTAAAAACACTACATTATAATGTAATATGTTTCCATATGCTTGACAGAAAGCATTTTTTATGGGATATTGATCTTCGACGTACGATTGAAACAAATCTTAATAAAAAAAATGAGTGAATGGAATACCGAAACCCTAAACAATTTTCATATCTTTTTTCGATTAAAGTTTTGTTCCCATTCTAATATGATGAGTTTAACTTAACTCGTACCTTTTTTTTTGTTAGCCTCTTTCTTTTGTTTTTTTTGTACCGAAGAATAAACTGTTGCGGTTTCAGCTATTGGTTTTGATTCATTTGTTTTCTTTACAGCAGCGTAAGTTGGTGCCGCTGTAGTTGTGTCGGCATCATTATTTACATCTTCTTTATCATTCTGTAATTCATCGACACTCACGTAGGCCGGATTCGCTTCTATAACTGGAAAAACATATTGATCTGAAGACGACAAAATTGATTCAAATCTTTCAAAGCTATTCATTTTGAAATATATATACACAATATCATCATAACAAACAATGTCTTATTACTAATAGGATTTCGATAACGATAATGACAAGTGAAAAGCTAGATCGTCTGTTTGTTTAGTTTTTGTGCAGTTATCCGAATCTAGGTTAATAGGTTAATATCAGATATTCTTCGACTGTAGTCACTTCCAGTTAAATCAGATAGAAAGCTGTTTAGTTTCGTAGATTAGAAATGGAAATAATACATACTCATTCCATTTGTTGACCGTATACCATTTAAACCTCTGAAATGTAAAAGATATTTTACAAAATGGTTTACTCAAAGAAGTTGTTTTGTGCAGATACCAAGTAGGAGCATGTTAGATTTAATCATTTATTTGAGTTGTTTATTCTGTTGATAAGTGTCACCTCTGTGGACATTTCAAGGTCTTGAACACTTATTTACTGAGATAAATACGCTGTTTAGATGCTGGTCAAAGCAAAAATCTTGCAAAAATATTCAAAAGGGGTGAGATCTGATATAGTGTTGATTAAAATGAATTATAAACTAGAGCGCAAACCTAACAATTACAGCACTAGGCAATGCATTCAATCCTGGAAATCGTTCATAAAATTAAAGATACTAAAATATTTAATGAAAAGATGCACATATACCAGGGCTGATTATTCATTTTTTTGGTAACCGGACATTTTTCAACGACCTGTGAAATCTGATCTCAATTTCCCCTTGGTTTGAGAGCAGCAGGGGCCTTATTATCCACGGCTTAACTTAAAATCACTTAAATTGATAAAATATCATTTTTTGAAGTCAATGTCTTAACTTACACCTGATTTTAAGGGATTTAAGTTTTAAAGAATAAGGAATCTGTGCGCCGTAAAACGAGTTCGTAAATTATGTTTAGTTTCTCCTACATGTTAAAACAAAAAGCGTAAAAATCAATAAAGATCAACTAAGATCAAGGTCACAAGCCTTGAAAGTTTGGACAATAATTATTGAAAAATTCAACCGGAAACGGACGAAAAGCAATATAGAAATTTAAAATATCCTTGTTAGTGGTATCTATCCCAGAGACCCCATTTTTATACGCCCACATGGAAATGTGGACGTATATTGCCGTCGCTCCTGTCCGTCGGTCCGTCCGTCGGTCCGTTCACATTTCTTGTAGCGATAGAGGCTACAGTTTTTATCTGATCTTGATGAAACTTGCTATGCATGTATATATTGATGAGATCTCGGACAAGTTCGAAATCGGTAACAATCGGAAGAACGGTTTCAGAGTTATTGCCCTTGACTAAAAACGCGTCAAATTTGCCTTGTAGGTACGATAGAGACTACAGTTTTTTTCCGATCTTCATGAAACTTGGTTTGCATGTATAGATTGATGAGATCTCAGTCAAGTTCGAAATTGGTAATAATCGGATGAATTTTTTTAGACTTATTGCCCTTGACTTAGTAAAAACGCGTCAAATTTGGCTTGTAGGCATGATAGAGACTACAGTTTTTATCTGATCTTGATGAACTTGGTATGCATCTATATATTTATGAGATCTCGGTCAAGTTTGGAATTGATAATAATCGAGTGAACGTTTTCTGAGTTATTGCAGTGACTTAGTAAAACTGTGTCCAATTTGGCTTGTAGGCACGATAGATACTATAGTTTTTATCTGATCTTAATGAAACTAGATATTCATATATTGATATATTGATGAGATCTCAATCAAGTTAGAAATTGGTAATATTCGGATGATGAACAGTTTCAAAGTTATTGCTCTTGTGTGCACAGCGATGAGACATTATTCATGTTTGAATTTCATGATAACTTGATGAACTGTTTCAGGTTTTTGCCTTGACTTATAGATGATTTTAAGATTATTTGAAAATTCATTATTAAGCCACTAAAGATTTTGTTATCATTTCTGACAGCTGGTAGTGGGCGTATGTTACCTTGCCTGGCAAGCTATCTTGAGTTATACAAAAGACTTGATATTTCAATATTGCCTCTTATCGGGTTATATCATTTAACGTTTTTTGTAAAAATTCTAACATTTGCAAAATAAAATTTAGAAATAAAGGCCTACTTAGAAATTGCATGTTTACAAGCAAATTGCGTCAGTGAAAGTGATTGAAATATTTTATAACAGATTTCGTTCGCAAATGTCTATAGGCCTGCACTAATAAATTTTCAGTTCGATCGAAATAGAATAGAACAAGTTGAAAAAATTACAATAATTAAAACTCGAAAAGTCAGCGACAGAAAGCAATATTATAAATTTCTTAATTTTAAAATTGATAGGGAGTGATGAGGCATAAAATGCTGTAAAACTTCTAAGAAATAAACAACGAATGTTGTAAAAAGAAGAATGAGTCATACTGCATTTACTTAATCTAATTTCCAAAGTTTATTAAGGAAAGGGGTTTATTACTATATTTTTGGGGATACGATTAAAAATAAATAGATCTATAGACATTGCATGGTTCTGACACAGTGTGTTACCGTTTTTTTGGTTTTTTTTCGCTTTTTTTTATTTTAACTGTTCCGATTCAAAACAATATCATCACTAAACACGTTATTTAAAATCATATTTAAATTATACATTATAAGCTTATTATAGTCTCATGATCGCTGAAACTAATAACTTATTCAGCATATCGCTTGTTTTCAAAAATTGCACCAACTCATAACATTCTTAATTCAGTCAATAAAGATACAATAGAAGAAGGCTCAAATGAAATCAAAAGGCATTAATTGTTTTATTAAAATACAGTGGCCGGTATGCACCATATATAATCAAATTAAGAAGAATAGAATTATTTTAAATCTTAAATGGATTTAGTTACATGTAATTAAAGATAATTCTATTTTTTGTATTAATTAAATATATTTATCTGCACTGTAATTGAAATTCTATTTTCCATTCGAACTACACACTATACACAATCTAAGACATATTTCTTATTTAACATTTTAATCACTGCTGTATGTAGTGTGGATTGTCTTGTAGCCGAAACTCTATAGCCTCTCATCTGGTGTCTTACAGCTTTTATGAAAATTATCAACAAGAGTAAGATCAAACGATATCTTTAATTCTTCCTATTCTTCGAAGGAGCAAATGAACGTCTTAATAAATTTGATATGGAATCCATGTCATGTTTCATTTATGCAAAATATGTCAGTTAAATTCAGATTGCCTAAACGGACATTTCGGATTGTCTAAACGGACATTTCAATCCTGATAAATATCGTGAATTTCGTTTTCTGCTCAAAAATGTTTGTATATAAAGCTTCAGTGGATGTAAAAGCGTTACTCTGTATATTCTCTCAACATGGCCGGTCGACCACGTTTTGTCAATTTTTCTACTTATGTAACAGAGCTTCTGAGTGAATTAGCAAAAAATCACCAAGATGTTTACAAAGAAAAAAAATCACCAAGATGTTTACAACCCCAGCAAAGGTTCTGCAGCAAGAAGATTTCAACATGGACTCGCTGACGACAAATCGTGGCATCGACTCTCTAAAAATATGCCTTAGCAACCTAACCACCAAGGTAAGCAGCTAGAAAACGAGAGGTTCAGAAAACAGGGGGAGGGCAAGAACCCACAGAACTAGATAACATCTGTCAGAGTATCAAAGATTCCTGCTCTCAGACGTTTGAACCTCTACTTGTTCCAGATGACGACGTCGACGAAAGCCAACCCTTTCCAGGCCCATCGACAAGTCAAGATTCCCGAACCAAAAAATCATCCAGGCGCTCATCATCGCAAGAAACTATTCTTTAGCGTGAAAAAAATCTTCCTGATGTCAAAATAAATTACCTGCACCAAGCCCGGATGTCTTTAATTCATGTGGAATCAGAGTACAAACAAGTTTAGCACGTGAAAAGGGTGGAACTTTTACAGATAATGGTAGATAAGGCGAAGCGGGAAGGGGGTGGTGGAAGAGATTATGACTACACCAGCAGTTTTATGAACCTGTAATTGTCTGTTTAAATGTTCATGTAAATACATTTTACTAAAAATGTCGTAAAATTAGCGACCGTCTTATGGCCATGCCCCTTCTTACATCTTGCCTTGGAACTACGTTCATTTCCATGTCTTCACATGTAGTTTCTCCAAAATCCGCGTCGTTGTTCCCAATTGCCTTGTTATGTAGTATAGCACAACATATGATAATTCTAGCCGATTTTTCAGGGGCGTAGTATAACCTATTCATTAAAAAAGAAAAACGCTTTTTTAGAACTCCTAAAGCCCTCTCAATAGTTCCCCTCGTCTTAATATGACTTCTGTTGTAACGTGTCTCTGCATCTTTATTTACCTGTCTTGATGGAGTTAACAGGTATGGCAAACATGGATATTCCTTATCTCCTAATAACAACCCTGCCGCGGTGGCTCAGTGAGTTAGACGCTTGAGCGCTAACCTGAAGGTCTAGGGTTCAATCCCGGCATAGGTCGAGATAATAATACCCTTTTCAACCCGGTTTCCCTTTGTCAGTGATGCAGGTAAGATGGGCTGACATGGAAAAATCGTCTAGTCGTTCGGATTGGACGATAAACCGAGGCCCCGTGTGCTACAGGCTGGTGCACGTTAAGATGCCTCGACAGTTGGAAATCGAAAAAGAGCAGGCTAATGCCGCTGTCCTGGCAAAATTTCCCTCATTGCACCCTGCATGGCGTTGCCCGTCTTCATTATCCCACATGGTGCAGAAAAGTAGGACGTAAAACTCCATTTATTTCATTTTCATTTCATTTTGTCTCTTAGATCACCATTTTCTAATCTAGTTTTTAGACTACAGTTATCAAAAATTCGAGGGTCATGTGTTGAGCTAGGCCATCGGGCTACAATATTGTAAAATCGCAAACAGGTCCACAGACAACTTGAACGTTTAGGGAAACTAAAGATTTACGGTTTCTATATATTTCTGGATATTGAATGTTTGAAGAAAGTCTTATGACAACATGTGTTCCATCTATAGACCCAATGATGTTAGGAAAACGGGCTATTCAAAACAACTGTCG